CTTTGGTTAGCCTGATCTAGGTTTCACTCATGGATGGAAAATTATGCTCAGGTTGAAAGGATATCTCAACATGGACATGGTTATGCCTTTTTTTTTTTTTTTTGAAAGGAGCACAAACCACTGCCCTCTATCACACTGAGATGTGCACCAGCAAGGGGTGTAGGCCAAAGTGAAGACTTCCATATTGTATCATTCAGCTTCCTCATTATCGTACCTCTTACTGAAACTTAGTTGGAAACAACATTAGGGAAATTTCTTCTTCAATGTCCTCCATTTTCTGTACTAACCCAGCTTTTTTAAAAAATGAAAACAGGTTTTATCAGCATGGCAGTTTCTAGGTTTGATCAAGAGTTGGCAAGTTTCCACAGATTCTCACTAACTGCTAAGACTAAGCACAGTGGAAATAATCCTCCATTTCTTTGGAGAATTCTTCATTTCCTAACTTGCCTCTTTCTTTCCCTTACCTAATACACTCTCTCCTGGCACAAGTAAATATGTTTCAGTAGTGCAATGCAGTACAGTCATACTTAGTGCAAAAAAAAAAAAAAAAAAAAGCCCCATTATAGACTCAAAGCTCAACCCTAAACAGCTCTTACTTTTGTTACCAGTGCTACAAAAGCTGGAAATTCAATCTTTACCTCACACTCCTGTGAGTCATCTCTTTTGTTGCCCTTGTTTGTTTCAGCTCAAAGGAAAAAAACTAGCAAGCACCTATGTATTATTCTGTAAAACATTAAGCCAATAGGTAGAAAAATAAAGGGAAGTAGTGCAATTGAAACCAGGGGTATTATTTAGAAGAGGAAAATAGCTATTTAATGCAAAAGTCAGTAGTGGTTTTTACTTATTGGTTTTCATCATGACAAATGGCTAAGGGGAATGGGTACAGAAGCTTTCCTGCTTCCCAAAAGGTCCTAAATTTAACAGTGCTGGGCTCTTATTTTTGAATAGTGCAATCAGCTAATCCTCAAGGGCTATAGGCAGCAGTTACCTTACAGAACATAAACAGGAATAGTAGGAGTGCTCACCTTTCTACATTGACCTCTTTTTCCCTCACTTCATTCCTCTTCTATTTACTCCTTTTTTTCCTGACCACACACAGAGATAGATGTCTACACATGCACAGAAATGTTCAAGGCCCCTCTCAGAATAATGGATTGATAATTGGTACAAATAGCTCAATGACATACTCATACAAAGTACAATTATTAAATATAAAAGTGAATTATTACACCAAAATCAAGATTCTGCATTGTATTTCTTCTTGTATTATTCAGTAAGAAAGAAACAACATTCACAGGAGGATTTGTTATGGAGCTTACTTCTTGCTTAAGATTAATCTAGAATTAGTTTTGGATGTGACAATACAAGTGATTCTGAAGAAATGCTTTGTGTTTGATAGCCCTTATGCACCTGTCTCTTCAGTGTCTGGATCCTCACTCTGCAAATTCGAATCTGTCTGTCTGCTGAGACCCATACATGCATGCCGGAAGTTCCAGGAGAATCAATGTGTAGTTTGGAATAGGTTATGAAAACAAAGAAGTCTGGAATAGCGAGGGCAGCACACTCAAATTACTTTAAACCAAAGTGATCATAGGTTTTCTCTCTGATCAGCTTCTCCCTTTGTTTGCCATGATGAGAGATTACTAAGAGACCCTGCTTTCATCTACTCTGAAAATCACAATTCTTTTAACAATAGTGCAAAAACAAATCTTAATTAGATATATGCAAATTATCCTTAATTTATATCTTAATAGCCTCGCAGGAAAACCGAGGTTCAAATCAGTGGGACTAAGGAAGAAGTTTAACTGCTGAAAATGCCTTTTAGATTTTCTCCTACAAATCTAGAGCTGATTCCAAATCAAAATTTGACTCAAGGAGGGCAAGAGTAAAGTGACTAGCTTTGTTTTTCAATGCTCCCCTATCTGTGAACATAACAAAGTACTTCAGATGATTTCAAAACCTTATCTCATAATTGAAGCATTATTTTATTTTCAGTTATCTCTTTGCATACTCCTTGTGTGCCTGGAGAACAGATTTGGTATAGGAACAGTCAAGGGTTTCTACAAATTCTTTAGATGTGTTTGGTAGCATTAAGAGGAGTCTTAAATCACAAAGGAGTGTAGTTATACTATTTCTTAAAACTATCATAAAAATACAGGGGCAGGTATGACAGAGGATAAGTGGTGACAATGTTCTCTGGTGACCCTAAGAACTGACGTTAGGAATTCAGAACTGTATCAAATTTAGCCCCATCACAGTGTCTTATTCTCCCTCTTCGCTTTTCTTCTGCTAATTGAAATTGAAGTTATTTTAAAGTTTGAGCCAAGAATGCTAATTATAGCACAAAAGACAGGTGGGTTATAATAAGGTTGACAGGCTATTTGTAATTTGAGTTGAGTTGAAAACAGTATGCTTCAAATGAAGTACTAAAATTTCTTCCTTTTTTCCCTTCTAGTTTCTAAATTGGTTTGTCTGTCCTTCTTCTGTAATGGTGGAGCATGGGTGGGTGAAGTTCTGGTAGCATAGCATGTGAATTTCCCACTTATGATCATCTCAGTGCCCAGGCGGGAGAGATGAGATGTAATGGAGAAGTGGAAGTTGGTCTACTTAAGACCCATGGACACATACATTCTTGTAATCAATATAAAAGAGATCCCTACAGTTGTAAAAATCTATAGATCAACTGATTTGGGCATTTTATTAGCACTCCTTCCTTTTCTTTTCTGGGTATTTTGTACTAGATACTAATAAGAAATCTGAAGAGCAATTAATTTATTTTCAGCTTTATTTCTAAAAGGATTTGAGGAGGCAGTAAGGATTCGTAATATAAAATGTATGACCTTCACCTGCAATCAGTTCCCATTCTTTGGCCCCAGACCTGCTAGTTTAGGTAAATAGGGTTTCTTCTTCAAGGAATAGTTTTTATTTTAACTCTTCTATCCTCAAAATGCAGAGAGAATTTCTCTCCTCAAAGCTATTAGAATAAGAGACTTTCACTCTTTCAAGTGCCATTAGAAAAGGAAGATAAGATTTTCATGGAGAAAAGACTCCTTAATGGTAAACTAGAGGGCTTTTCTAAGAGAAAAATGACTATGGTATGTTGGGGAGCAGTAATTTGACTGCCCCTGGATAGCATCAAATAAAAGAATCAAAATCTTTTACTACCTTGAAAAGAAAGAGATAAAGGAAAACAAACAAATCAACAAACTTTACTAAAATACACATTCCTCCAGTTTCAGATTTCTACAAGGTTATAATTATTAATCAAGGTTTATAGATAGCAAACAACTGTTTTAATGTGTAAAAGTACTATCCCTTTACTTTATCATGTTTCACTTTCTTTGAAGGAATTGCATCTATGCACACTTGTCCTAAAGTCCAGTGCAGAAAATAAACTTGTTTGCTACCAGCCTCAATCTCAGAACATTTCCTAAGCTATATGTGCAAATACTAAAACTACTTATCTGTAAAATGAGATGCAGAATTTCTGAAATGCATTGTGGGGGGGGGGGGAGAAGCAAGCTTTTTATGGGGAAAAGAAAAAAAAATCCCTTCCTAATCTCCCAAACATATTCTATAGTGTGTCTGACCATTATTTTGCTGCATTAATTACTACTAGGGCTGTTGGTGCCTTTAATAGGTGTCGGCTTGGACACAGGAGGCTCACGAGCATTAAGAAATTCATACCCTGGAACTTGCAGAATATAAAAAGGATTTAGACATTAATTTGCAACGAACACAGAGGTTGTGGTGAGAAATCTTGGGTTTCAGGGTTGGAACTCTTCTTGGAGAACTTGAAGGAACATGTCAAAAGGCAGCTTGGATAACTGGACCAAATGGGATCTTTCAGACCAGGTCTTCTCCTATTCTGCCTTACACTTGAGTGATAGTATCTTAGGATTTAAAAGAGAGTCTTTTATTCCTTGAGAAGACAATGCCTGAGGATAAGAGTACTGTAGATAAAGAATGCTTTCAAAAAAGATACCAGGAATCAGAATTGACAAAGGAAAAGAAGGCAATAAGACTGATGAGAGAAGATGCCAAGTGAAGGTCACAGTCTAAAGTAATATAAATGTTGGCTTTAAGAAAAATTGGTTTCCTGCTAGATTCCTGCCTCTGGAAGGCTTTTGAACCTTCTATTTATTCCACTTCATTCTTTGGTGTGAGTTCATATTACAAGTTGTTTTGATTAAGACAAAAGCTGAGTCAAGTCTTAAGTCAAATAAGAATGCATTTATGATATTAAATGACGGTTCTGCTTGTCAATGTTAAAGCAAGAACTGAAAGCATACCCCATGCACTTCCAAATGTCATAGACTTTGTCTTTATATTAGCCAAGAAACAACGTGTTACCATGGCAAGAGCACTGGACTAGAAGTCAAGGAAGACTGTGTTACACGCTAATTGTAAAGGTGATATTACTAGAATCCAGAAAAGGATATACCAGGTGTGGCATCAGTCTTCTGGGCAGTGCTCTGGGGACCAGACAACTGTAATCTATTGGAATGAGAGATCTCGTGTGATGACCAAGTTATATGGCGAGTAGTTAGGAACTGGGCACTGTACTGCACTGCCCTTAACTGTACATTCAGCATGACTCTCATTTTCTTTAAGCACATGATATATGTGTGTTTAAGCAATCTCTGGTTGCAAAGCACACTTAAGAAACTTTATGGATCTTTTCGTCCCTTGGTAAATTACTGCTCAAAATACTAGACCAATTGATATCTGTTTTTTTCAAAAAAGATAGTAAGTGAAAAATTCTCCTACAGTGTAAGTGGCTTTACTTGTCTGAAAAGAACTCTCAAAAGCTGGAACAATTACCAAAATTATTTTGAAATATTAGCTCTTTCTCTGGATTCCTTTAAATCTAGTATCTGGTAAACATGTCATTTCACTAAGTATTAGCAGGAGTTTAAATAGTTGACGTTAGTGATTTTTTTTCCCCCAGAAATGCTCTACTCATATCAAGAATTTGAAAAGTGTGATTTTTTTTTTTTAAAAACCACAGAAAATACTTTTCTCTTTATCTTTGGCCAAATGTGAAGGTGAGGGGAATTAATGATCTCAGCTAGTGTAGTTGACATTTAAAAATGTGACTCAGGTCCTCCCACTCTCAAAAGAATATTGACAACTTTTAAAATCTGAAGCTAAAATGAAGACATGTTTCTTTGTGCCTTCAAGTCTCAAGTTTATGAAGTTTTAATTTAAAGAAGGACATTAAGAAGGGATGAGAGGAAGGAGGAGAAACGAACAGTCAGGGGTTATAATGTAATATTAGAGTTGGAGGGGCAGGAATGAGACAACTGTGTAATTCAAAGTAGTCTTAAAAGAAGTGAGAACTAAAGAGAACAGGTAGGGAAAAAGAAAGAGGAAAATAATGGAGTTGATACAATTTAGATAGTATGTGATCACTGGGGAAGGAGTAGCCTCACCAATATTTAGTTCATAATTATGTTTGTTTAATAGACATGTATCTAGTTGAAAATGGAGAACACATTGGTAATCTGATTACCAGACTCAATATTGGCCCGTTCAAAGGAGGCTAAGAAGAGGCTGTTCCTTAATGAGTACCAGGCTTCACAATTAGAGTATGTTGAGGGGAACCTGTGTGGATGGGGGCAGAGAACGGCTAGACAGGCACAGCAGAATGGGATGGGGTTGGAAAGATGGAAGAAGGAATTAGTGTAATCATGCTAAGAAGTCTTAGTATTGATCTAAGTCTTTTCCACTAGATTTCATAAAAAGCTGTTTTCATGTTGTCCTGAATATAGAATGGAGGGAGAGACTGGTTGTGGAAACTCAGGGTAGATGAAGGGTTGATACAACTCTGATGTTCAGCATTGGGCTGAACAACTGAAGGAGGCTGAGGAAACTCCTATCTGAAAATACTCTCTGAAAGTATTTCTTGTACAGGAAGACAGGCTGTCTGGTTTCTGAAAGTTCCCATGGTAGGCTGGCTAAAGAAGAAAGGCACTGAATTTCCACTTTTAACAGGCAAGTGGAGATACCAAGAACCAGATCCCCAAGAGCCACCATTTTGTGGATTCTGCAGACTGAAAAATGTGATATGTATTGCTGAGGTCTATTTTTACTAGTCTCTGTCAATAAAAAGTTCGTTAAGTCTGCTTTTAGTTTAAAAACAAATCCCCTGGGAAAATGAACACTATATTGCCAAACTGCCTTTAGGGAAATGTTGAAGACTAGTTAAATTAATTGTAAGCATATTGAAAACAGAAAGTAGTGAATAAGAACCAGTATTTAAAATCAATGTTTGAAAATCCAGTTGGGACAAGTAGGCATTTCACTGTCTAATGCTCTCACCAGAGCAGCCCTTTGAAATGCAGCTTATAACCATGTGCAGACTGAGTAGCCCCTTGGTCATATTTTTAAAAGCAAATATAGACAATGACAGTCCTAAAAGGAGAAATCACAGATACATTCATATGCACTTCTTTTGTTCTTCAGATATTGAAAGGGCCAGCTAAACAAGATCACTTTGAATACGAATCTCTTTGTATTAGCCACACCAAAAAAAAAAAAAAAAAAAGTCTTAAAAAAAGTTCTCACTTTCCTACATTTGCTAAGTCTGAGCTTAAAATAAAATCCTAAAATCCTTTAAAGACAATACTGAAGCTGATAATATAAAAAGCAAACTAGAGCAGTAAGGATTATTGTCAACCGCACCCGATTAACTGCAGCAGGTTGGTGATGGGTGATATATGCAAAGAAATAATATTTCAATCATCTCATGATCATAGGCAGATTCGAAAGGTAAAATGAATATAATGTAATATATATTTCAATAGAGTTGTTATATATTATGTGTATGTTCTAGGTTTCAGAAATACTGCAATGTAGTGTACTGTATGTAAGTAAGCCTACCTAAACAGTAACTCATAGACTTCCACAAAGTCACTATTACTATTAATTAAAAAATCAAAATTAAAAACAAAAACAAAAAACAAAATTCATTTTTCCAGTAAAAAGAATACCTATGGTTACAGTCACAGACTTCTTTTGGATATAGAAAGACAATGTACATTTAAAAATGTAATAACAAAAAAGTTGCAACTGTAAGTAGCCTTACTTAATGGGAGGAGAAAAATCACCAAAATAGAAGAGGAAAGAAAATGTCCTCTGAATTCTGTAAAGCAGAAATAATCTACACATCATAAAAAATAAGAAACCATGTTGTAAAAGAAGGGCATAGAAGTGAGAAAACTGAATCTGACTGTTGCCAGGCCACCAAGCCATCAGAGGCAGCTCTGAGAGCTAGGCCCATTTATTCAGTATATTACACCAGAGTGGTATTCTACTTTAATGTCTGGCATGAGCAAGAGCCAGCAATTCTTAGAGATTCTCCCCAAATTATTCCCCTGATAGTCTATTGGTTTGCTAGACATGGTAAACAATTCACTCCTGGAAAGACTTGGGCAAAGGCCACACTGGTTTCAGGAGTCACAGTTCATGAATGATGGTGGCGTCCTGCAGGAGCAGGCAGCATGGGGAAGCTTTATTCTGGGAGTAAAACTCACACGTGGGTTTCTGTGTGTGCACACACAGGATTTCAGAGAGGAAAGGAACGGAGGCCTTTGAGCCCTGTTTGGCCTTGGCATGAATGGGCCTCATGTGCCTGGCCTTGATGCCCCTCCTCCAGGAGACCTGGTAAGGTGTCCTGGGTCACTGCTCCCTCTGGTCTGCTCCCCAATTGGGCACTTGTGCTCCATCTTCTTCTTGAGGAAAACAGCCTGTCCTGTGGGTTTGCTGTAGAGCCAACAAGCTGCCTTTGTTTCTTCCAATTCTGAAACACTACAAAAAGCAACAGAGTGGGCAGGTGACTGCTTCCTGGGAAGGGAGCCACAAGTCTGAGCACAATGGTGGGAAGAGGCAACTGTACCTGCACACAAGACCTTTGCCTGTGTGTGCTTCATTCCAGAGGCACACACAGGCATATACACAGACAACAATAAATATACACACAAACATGCATACACATACCAGTAAATCCAATAAAAGTGTAGTATTTGTTCAAGTTTCTCATCAAAGGGATACACAGAAATTACTGATGGTTGAGCTCCTTCAGGATGCCCAAAAGCCTCATCACAGACACAGAGGCACCTGACTAAGGCAACACAGGAGAAGCAGTATGTGAGATACGTCAGCTCTTTGACTTCTAACTAGATATTCCAAAATTGATCACATTGTCACTAGAGAATGAGATTGTAGGACAGTTTTGGACTAACAGCGCTTCACACTCATATACAGACATTCTGTATGGAAGCTCTGACATACTGGATGAGCTAAGACCCTTTATTTACAAGGTAAAAATGTTGCTGGGCAATCTCAACTGTGGTAACAGTCATGGGAATAGATGTCTCCTATGGGGTTAGTTTTTCCTCTCTGCCTTGGGTGTTATCAGAATCTCATGAGCGTCTGAATCAAGAAACCTCTGAATTTTAAAGAAGGCTAATTAAACATGCCCCAAATGGGACTGCCATTGAGTAGATTGTGTCTATGACCTGCCAACTGTGCTCCTTCACTAGACTTGAAAATTCCAATTTTTTATTTAAACAAAGAACCACTGGATAAACCAGATGTACTCCAAAACTGAGAAAAAAAATTTGGAGATATACACTATACACTATCTAGGAAAAGAAAGTTTTCTGTTGGGATTGTTTTCCCTTTAAAGGGATATTTGAAACTGACACCTCAGGTACCTGTGATTATGTTTTATGGGATTCACTATTAGTAGTAGGATGTCTCTTTTACAGTCAGCCTAGACCTATCAATGAAACAGAGTAGATAGGAAATATCAGCCACTTCCTGAAGCAGCCAGTTCCAGACCAGTTTGGTGCCTCCTCAAGAAGTCACTGTTTCCATGGTCCTCAGTCATGAATAGGGCTTATTTGTAACACAGCTATTAGAAAAAAAGCAAGCAATGTTCACATATCTCCACAGCCTTCCAATTTCTATTTTTTTGTCCTCCTCTCTGGGCTTTCTAATTTAATTCTCTAAGTGACTTCTTGTGAAAATAATTTAACTGAGATTGCTTCAGATTAGATTTCAGTCTGAAAGTATTCAGTCTATGGAAAAATAGGTGGGACCTGAAGAAGCCACTGGAGTGAAAGGTTATTTTCAGTCAGAGGTGTGGAAAGGTGATGTTTCTTGTTTCAACCCAGGGCATGTTTACCCCACATTCAGTGTGTGTGTGGGGGGGCGGTTTCTGAAAAAAAAACTCATGCTATGCAGTCTTCATTTTTACTTCTTTACACTAAAAAGAATGGGAACAAACCCTACTGTCTGGGATCTGCTAATGTACATAACTGACTGCTATGGATTCAACATTTAAGGAAAGAAAATCTTCAGAGATTTAGAAAGCTCTCTGGGGGAATTTTGATCAGCTGCTCATCTTGACTCCCAATACTAGAATTGATACTTTGGATTAGTCATTTCCACATGTGTGTTTACAAAATACGAGTCACAAGAGCCTTGGTTCTTGTAGAGGCTTACTGGTATCAGAAAAGGTAACTTTACACAGGAAGTCCTTCAGAATATAAAAATATTCTCTCTCAAGGTCAAAAGCTCTTCTGTGCCCATTTTCTGCCCTGGGTACCAGGGCAGAAAGTTTGCCCTGTGTTATTGATTTCCTGGATACCTAAGAGAACAGCCCTTTTCTTCATGAAAACACTGAGAGCAGAAAGAGGTTATGGATGTCTCAGTTGAGAAGTTATGTCCAGCAGAAAGCCAGTGTTTGAAGCTCAAGCCCTCTTCCTCATTCACTGCAGCAGTCCCAGGCATTGGGTTGTTTTGCTTTTTCTATGGAGTTAGGAGATCTATTGAAATTCTAGTGCACCCTTCTCTTTCTTTGTCACCAGGTCACATGGTTCTGTCTTTAGTGTCCTATTTTTCTTTTCTTTTTAAATTTCTTTTTCTGGGGTACAAAACTGGCTGTTTAAATAAAGTTCTTTTCTAGTGTGTAAAGAGGTTTCTCAGAGCCAGAAATCACTCAAAAGAAAGTCTGTCGACCCTACCCATGGAAAAGCCCAGAGATTTCTTTAAATACCTCTTGCCAAACTTCCTAGTTTTGCGATTGGATGTTTTCTGGCTTAGCATTGTTGGGTGTTGAATACATTTTACTATTCTTTTGTTCTCTTCCCCAGAGCTTCCATTACCCTGGACTTCAACTCATTACTAAATTATTCTTTTAGAAGATTTCTTTTAAGAGTCAGTGGGTATCCTCCTGTTCTCAGTCCCTAGGGCATCTCAGGTTGTGTCTGCTCTTGTGTTGCACCTTATTTTTGTTCCCTTTGCTGCAACAGCATGCTGGCCACAGCAGAGGCAGCCTGATGGGATCATCTGATACCTTTTCTGCAGAATCATATATCCCCTGTGCCCAGCCCAAATTAATTAATTAACTTCTTTAATGACAACAGAGGAAGGCCCAGGGATGGGCATATCTGTTGTGCATCCCAGCCAGGTCTACCTCATTTCCCCCATTCCTAAGGGCAACAGGAGTTGGGAGTATTACAGAGGATCCCCAACAAGGAAGCAACAAGAGCCTTTACTATGTTTTCCTGGGGATCTGAGTGATGTTATACGGGGTGAACTTCATTTTTAACTTCTGTACTGAGAGAAATACTGATTTGGGAGCATGAGCAGGTTGCATACTGCTGGTATGATTGCATGATGGGAATACATGTAGGTCAAGACTACAGATCTTAAAATGAGATAAACCTACCCAGAGGAAACTTTTTCTTTTTTCATTATCAGAATGGACACATTCTTCCTGTTCATGGTTTGGAAAAGGTTTCTTAGTCCTTACAGAATATTAAAAATGTTAAAAATAAAACCTCTGTAACTTTTAAACAAAGCAAACCCAAATCTTTCTAAGGCCAAGACCTACTGTGACTTCTAAGATGCAAAGAAGGAATGGCCTACAGTTGGAATATGATTTGGGAATTATCCACCACACTTACTCATGGCACAAACAGATTCAAAACATTAGGAAATTGTGGAGGGAAAAGGCTACAAAATTGTTATAAGGAGTGAAAGCGTACAATTCAATTAAAATACACACAAAAATATTTTGAGAGAGATTTTCATTTCAGAATTTTTTGGGGGGCTCTGGCTTGTTTCTCAATCTTTTCTTGTTATAGAGCTGTATCAGATCAGTGAATTATGATTTCTGTCTTCTTAAGTGTTATATTTTACACATTTAGGGGATCTTTTTTGCACAAACATTGGAATTTAGTAGGGAAAAAAATTGCCTACTATGCTAAGATACTACCAATGTTTTTAGAACTAGGAAATTTTATTTTTTATATACTGTCAAAATATCTTGAGATAAACATTACCCTTTGACTTTTTTCTTTTCTCTTGTTTAATATATTCCTTTTAAAATCATAGATGCTAAAAGAAAATGTTATTTTCCATAGCAGTTCTTGCTCCCTGTATTCATTTAAGAGGTCTTAAATCTGGAACATTTGCTCCCATCTTATCTAGTTTTTTTCTGGCTACTAAAAAGAATTTTTAAAGCACTGATAGCATCCTAGCATGAAGTTCTAAATGTAAGAAAACCATAGGATTTGAAACCAAAAATGAGAAGAATCCATACTGATTCTTTGATCTTGAGGCAAGATATGTTTCCCAAATTTTAAAGAAATTTGTGATTGCTGAATTGTGATGGAGGGCTGGCAACCTGGAAGCGTCTGTGTCCTTTTGAAATAGGTACAGACTGGTTATTTTTAAAAACATAGGTTTGGAAAGCAGACCTTCAGAGCCAGACATACATCAGTAGCCCCACAATAGGCCCTTTGCAAACTCCCCCAAATTAGAGCTCCCAAGCCAATCTAGCTTCTTCCTGTTTCCAGAGAACAGTTTGTCAACTATGTTAACTTTTGAGATGTTTGGGAGAGAAAGATGTACAGCAGGAACAAATCTACTGCCATGCAAAGCAGGGTAGTACATTTTGTCATGGACTACAATGTATTATTACCTCACCATGAATTCTTTAGGGACTACCAATTTTTTTTTTCCTTTTAAAAAAGAGAAATTTCCTTTACATGAAGAGGATGAACATCAGGGTTTCAAGTCACCTGCAGTTTTTTTCTCTACGTGTTCTGTAATAAAATGTGGACTTTAACCCAGTTGCTTAGCTTTTACAGATAAATCAGCATGACGGCAAATGGGTCTCTCAAATTTGAGAAGCAGACAGCTTCTAGACATTTGTGGCTAGAATGGCACTCAAGATCAGCTTTTTTGGAGATATTATGAATTCTGCCTACTTTGCTAAGGTTTAAGTGATTATTTAAATGTCTATTTTCAAATAGTTGAAAAAACTTTAAAGTTGCTTTTGACCCTCTTTTATTTGTACTGATTATTTCATGCAATTTTCCTCCAGGTTAAAAAAATTTCTCAATTCTAATCCTTTTTATTTTATGGGATGAACGGCTTGTTTTTCAAAATATAACAATTCCATAACCTAGTTAATTAATGCTCCCTCTGTTGGTGGTAAGTGGAAATACTAAATCAACACTGATTTTTTTTCAACAGCAAAATTAGAAATAGAAAAATGGACTTTTTGTATTTCTGAAGCTGACTTTATAGCAAGTCACACAGCGCTTGGTAGGACTTCTCTTAGAAATTGCAATAGGTGATCCTCAGTAGTTAACTACCCAAGTCTACATTAAAACTTCTAGCAAAATATCTACCAAATAAAGCACCATAGGACCAAATCAAACTCACACATACTGCAGTTACACAAACTACTAAACATCACAAAGAACTCCTGGAAAAGAGCCAAGTTAACCAAACATCTAAAATATATGAATAAAACCAATTTAGTCATTATAGAGTTGCTTGCCTTGGAAGATTTTCCCTCATTTGTGGCATGGTTTTTGTAAATAAAACTCTAACAGGAAAACTAGAAGGAAAATTAAATTAAAATGTAGAGTGACTTTGAAACTAAAATATCCTCTTTTTTCTTTTTCTTTGTAAAAAAATTGTAGTATGGTGTTTCTCCTTTGTTTAAAGATTTTTTTTGAAGTGTATTAAAACATGCTTAGTAATAAAATTACTTTCGAAGGATTAGTTAAGTTTAAAAAGTCCTATTTTTGAGCTGGAATCCCTTCAGGACACTGTGTATAATGGAAAAAATTTCTATTATGATTTCCTGATCAGGACCGAGGAGAGAAATCCCAACTAGGAAGAGAGACTGGCCTCTGGGATGATGCAACAGATTGGTGGCCTTTTGAATGGTGGATATTGGCATCAGGGAAATTGTATATTTCCCTAAGACCTTTCCAAAAAGCAAGGATTAATAATCATCTAATGAATGAACATCTTATTTAGCCCTCTTAGCCATGGTGGAAAGAGTCAGAAGGTGATATTTGAAAGGAAGAAAGTAATTTTGGCATCAACGCATCATGGTTCGTAACAGGCTTCTCTTAAGGATGCTTGCAGAGTTGCCAAGGGTGAGGAAGGGTGACTCCTCCCCCTGGCTGACCACAGAAGAATCCAACTCATTTGTCAAGGTCTCTATACCACTAGTGTTTCATCAAAGAAAAAAAGCAAAGTCAATAGAAATTCTAGAATCCTAAGAGCTCAATGAAATTTTGGAGAAGCAAGAAGTCTGTTTCTGAAAGATAAAGTCCCTCTCATTTAAAAGAACAGACTTCTAGATGGATCAGTGAAACAAATATTCAGTGGAGCAACTTAAGCTTGCTAAAACTCAAAGAACTACGTATCAAAATACAAAGCAGCAGTTCAAATTACAGCAGGGATGGGCGGGGCCACGGGGGCCCTCATCAACCCAGGCAATACTTAAAATAATAAAAATTAAGAAAAATTTTTAAAAAATGAAGAAAATAACCTTCCTCTCTTTCAAATATAGCTTTAGTTGCCTTTTATTCTTTCTATCTGGAAGCAGTATCGCTAACCTTAACAGTCTTGACTTACCAAAAAATATATATGTGTGTGAAATAAAAGAGAAGGGATTGGTGGCAGTGTATGCAAAACCAAAATTAAAAAAAAATTACTTTTAACAATCTCACTTTTTTTGTTTTTTTTTACACAAATACTGTTGTAAATATATTAAAAAAATCAGCATTCTATCTGGTAAACGTCACTTTTGCCCCTCTATAAAATTTTGAATTAAAAAAGCCTCAAGAACTTTTTATTGTTCCCCCCTCCCTCCATTCTCTTTCTTTTTCTCTTCCACAAGAATATATCCTCACACTTTTTTTTTTTTTGCAAAGATTGTTGGAAATAATCCTTCTCTTGTACCTAGAAACATAGGTGCAAATCTCTTATATCTTTGTTTTATCTGCATTCCTGCCTTTCATGAAAGTCCCTCTTGATTGTGCTGAGGCTGTGGCTCAGCGAAGACACTGAATAAATACGATAGCCACTGTTGCTTGTTGCTTGTCCAAGTCTTCCTGGCTTCTGTTGAAAGGGGGAGGGGGAAGTGGAGGAGGTGGGCCAGGGTGTGTTGGATTGGCAGAATCGGGGGCGGGGAGAAGCCTGCCATGCCACTTTCTTTCCCACACCTCTGCACCCACAGCCACCTCCCACCCCACAGCCCTTTTATGAAATCAGACATCATGGTAGGTGGAAAACAGCAGGGCCTTTCCTCTGGGTTTTCAACCAGAAGTGATAATCCACAGTTTTAACTGGTTACTGTGAAGTCCAAGCGGCCAGAATTGTGAAAATGTCCACTGAAACACTGCAAGCGGTGTACTTAAAGACAGTAGGCCTTTTAGATTTTGTTATATATTTTGTAGTGCTCTTCACAAGTGAAAAAAAAAATTTTTTTTTTTTACTTTTTTTTTTTAAAAGATTTTTTTTTTTTGTAAAGAAGGGTTGTATTTAGAGGCCAGTAGCTAGAGATCCAACCAGTGGACCTCCTGAAGCACTACCAGGCCTTAAGGCCACCATCCGAGGGGGACCGGGAAAACTATTATTCACCCGAGCCTCCGGAAATGTTATGTACCAGCAGGCAAAAAACAGTTCTTCATGTAGTACAAAATGAAACAAAACAAAAACAAAAACAGAAAGTAAAAACGAAACCAAAACATTTCTTAAATTCTAGTGCCATAGCTTGTTTTGTTTGTTTATTTCTTTTTTGTTGTTGTCGGTTTTGTTCATAGGAAAGAGAGAAAAATACTACTTATCCGTCAGACACATGCATCCTCATATGGTCGTTGAACTGCTCGATTTGGTCAAACTTTGCTGGGCAGACGGAACAGACGTAAGTGGTCCCCTCCGTGCAGGCCACCACACCCGGGGGGCCAGCGCGGGCACCTGGGGGTGTGCCTGCGGGAGGGGTCCCGTTGCTGGCACTGTGCAGGGCCACGTGTCGCTCCAGAAGGGTCTTGTGGGAGAACTTCTTTTTGCAGATGTAGCACTCATAGGACTTCTCCCCCCGGTGGAGACGCATGTGCACATTGAGGGAGCTCTTCTGGGTGAAGCGCTTGTTGCAGATGCTACACTGGTATGCCCTCACTCCTGTGTGTGTCACCATGTGCTTGATAAGGTAATCCTTTAAGGAGAAGGAGCGCCAACAGATGCTGCATTGGTGGGGCTTCTCACCTGTTGATGTGGGAAGAGACAGCAAGCAGGACAGAGCAAAACATACCCAAGGTGGGAGAATGAGAGACAGAAAAACAAGACAACGAACAAGAAAAACAAAAAAATTAAAAAAAAAAATAAAAATCTTATTGCTTAATGGATCATCCTTGATTGGAAAACCTTCCTGGCCTCTTATGTTCAGAGAAAGCTTGCTTTAAAGGGATGCCAGAACAGTCTAGAGTTTTCCATTTCCCCTTGATCAAAATGGCTCTTTTGGAAAGCTACAAGATATTGCTCACAAGGGTCATTCTGTGGAGTAAAGGGAAGGCTACTTCTTAAGAGAGTCATTTTCAGGGCTGTCATTAAGGACTTCACTGTTCCCAATTAATATTATCAAACAAATGTAAGAAATAAGAGAATGATCTTGGATCACGGAGTTCTCTGGAATCTGTGGGAACTGAGAATACTGGTAACATAACTTGATTCTTTTGGGAAAGTCCCTACTTCTACTATTCTGTTTAGTGAATGCACCCATTACTGATATTAAGTCTGGAAAACATTTGTCAACATGGGAGTAAGTCATTCTGAAGAGCATCACTTTCAATTTTATCTGTGTTAGGCAGAAATTTTCCTAAAATGAAGCTTAAGAGTTAATAGGTTATTCTGTGTTGATTGTAGTGAGCTACAGATTGGGCTCACCAGGTGCAGAAGCTGAATAGGTGGTAGGCAACACAATGATTTCAGAGTCAAATGATCCTGTTCAAATCTAAGCACCAATACTATATGGCATTCTGACAAATCACCAAATGCCTCTGAGGTATACAGTTCTACTTACCTCATTGTGTTGGTGTTGACATAAAATACATATGAAATCACTTTGCAGACCACCAAGGGCGGTGTGGGAATACTTACATGGTATTCTTATTACAAGGCTACACCCTCTCCCCATTAAATGGTTCCATATGCTGTTTGAACTCTTAGGTCAATTTCTAAAACAGTTTTTCTGTCTCTTTCTTTCAGCCTGTTGGCAGAATCCCTTCCTTCTCTTCTGTTTACTGTTTTGGTTTGCCATTGGCTCAGAAACAAAATGATAAAGCTAATTAAAAATAGTAAGGTAAGTAAGAATAGTCGTCACCAAATGATGACATGAGATATTCTTCTGTAAGTAAAGTCCATGGGTCTGTGACATCTCTTTGGATAATCACTTCAAGACTTGTTTTGTTTGTACTATTGGTTCTTAACTTTTGCTGTCTGTCCTTGACAGGTGAGATGAACTATATTTAGGTGTGATCCACTTTTCTCATCTTATTACTGATTGCCAAGGGTAGGTAACTACCTCAGAGTAGAAAGTTACTTCTACACACTCTACCATGACCCAGCCTAAAACCCATAGCCTGGATCTCCCTAGGATAATATTCCAACATCTGAGCTATGCAGCAGGTCAAGGAACCTACTTCTTAAACTTAACTTCCACTTAAAGTATGAGCCTTAACTGTGAATCTTTCTTTTTTTTTGTCATTATGAAACAGGAGGTTTGATGTATTGTGGAAATGATGGCAATAAAAACAATAATCATGTATTGTGTGTGAGGCTCAGTGTTAAATGCTTTATCCTCATGATCCATTTTGTGGATTTTCTCTCATCAGTTTTTGTTGGTGGTGGTGTGTTTTCATACATAAAAGGGTTTGTTTGGGAGCAAGTGAGGGGACAATTGATGCATAGGATCCCAGAGAAGAATTTCACTTTTATACTAAAATAGGAGAAATTAGGGAAGGCTTATTGCTAACAATCTTGGTTTGCTGAAGAGCATAGTGTTTATGTTGGTAAATTTTTTTCAAATGAGAGATTCCCTAAGAGAGACAGTCATGCATGTTATTTTTAGTTGAAACATTTCTGTCAGCTGTAAACACACTTGGAACTCAGCTGGTCTTTGCTATCCTTGTGCTTTCAGTACAATTTATAGTGGCTATGATAGGCTGGCCAACTATCTTTTAAAACATATCCACCTGTCACCTTTAATGGGAAGTGTGCTTAAGTTCCAGATGGTATTTTGGCTGCTGGAAAGTTGCAACTTTGTGTTAAAATGCTCTTGCTATTTGAAACTTTCACTTTCTGACTATGTGCTTTTCCTCTAGGCAAGGTCACTGATGAAAGCTTTTTACTTTCACACGCTTCTAATCCAACTATAAATTGATTTTTCACAGTTGTCATCTTTCCCTCCATACTATCTATATGTTTGTTGGTATGCGTGTAGTACCAGCTCTGCCATTAATTAATCGTGTGACCCTGAGCTTTTTAACCGTTTTCATCTCACTGGGTTTGTTTTGCCTTCTGTAATGAGGAGTTCAGCCCAACACTTGCCTTGCCCTCTGTGGATTTACTGGTCTTCTGCTTAGAGTGGTCCACAACCCCTAGAGAACTCCAGTCCTGGCCTTGTCAGCAAATGACCCGGAGGCGACTTGCTTAATCACTCAATGCATTAGCAGTCTCACATTTTAAATAGGACAAAGTATCCTGTTCCCTTCCCTGCCACAGAAAAATGTATGCTAGTTAATGAGGAAAAGAGTTTGCAAAGCACTTGGGAGCTCCTTAAAGGATGGTGCTCTCTATAATTACTCAGGACTGTGAGGGTGGGATGTAGACCCTTCAGAACTGTCTGACTAAATGCAGTATATGTTTGGATAAGCCAGGTGCCCACTTTTCCTTTCTAAATGTGTGGATTTGAAACAACATCACTTAGCAGAAATGTTAAAATTTTTCTATTATTTTCCTGCATATTACTTACAGCAATCCTCAAAGGGCTTTAGAAGCTGTGTATGAAATGGATGTGGACTGCTGATTATTGCTTTCCAAGTGAGTAATAAAAAGTGATGATAAATAAGTGGTAGTAGATAGATTTCCAGGAATGGCAAGTCTGATTTGTTAGGGAGGGACACAAGGTGCAAAGTGGATACTGAATTGTGACATGAACGCAGGCTAAAATGAGCCCCTTCACTTTAAAATGACTCATTTGGGGGCAGCAGTCAGATATGAATTCCATTTCCTTGGCTGAGTGACTTTGTCATGTTACTTAACCTCTCTAAGCCTCAGTTTCCTTATCTATAACTTGAGAATAGTGCAGAAAGTACCTGTCTTATGGGATTGTGTTGGAAATTAAAGAAATCAGGCTCTCAGTATAGAGTATGTGGTCATTTTAAGAAAAACTAAACTGCTCCATTAAGCACAGAACTAAAGATAAATGGAACCAAGTGAGAAATGACTATCAGTGTACAGGGAATTCTATTCAGAATTAAAAAACATTTCAAATGATCAATAAAGCAGGTGATTATACTGCAGCTATTTATTCAGAGTAAAGGGTAGAGTCTACTCTCAATCATAGACACTAATGAAAAGAAGTGGTATCACGAATAAAATGTTAGTCCATAGCATAGACAGAGGATTTCCTAGGAATCAGCAACGGAGCACTAGGGACAGAGAAACTGAACAGCAGGTGAAGAAATTGAGGAGAAAGGCCTTTACTGCCTTTCCAAAGGCAGGGGAGTGGTGAAACTTTGTTTTTCTCCATTTTTCAATGCTTGCTCTTCAACTTCTCATGGACCAGCTCTGACACTTACTCTACTATGACTGGCAAGTGGAAAAAAAAAAAAAAAAAAGAGAAAGATATTGCTTAGTTAGTAGATGCAGAGGGTTCTGCCCAAAGTTCACAAAGTTCCAATGAAAGCCATCCAAATGGGTCAAAACACCTCACCTTTGAATAGTGGCTTTTGCATTGGGATCTGAGCAAGAACTCACTTATTCTATTGATTCTCATTCTATCTAAGTTTTTTCTGGGCAGAAAGGACAGCAAATGCTGTCACCTAGATGTTTTCAGAAGCACTGTTACTACCTGCGCCTCTCCCATTCTCTCTGCTTCTCACAGAAGTGCATCTTTTTTTTTTTTTTTTTTTTGGCAATACTGGGGTTTGTACTCAGGGCCTCACACTTGCTAGGCAGGTGATTTACCATTTGAGCAATACTCCCAGCCTCTCTGCCTCTCCATTTTCTGCTATACCACAATGCCCACCTATCTTTTTGGGTGAGCACAGGAAAGGGTGAAAAATTAGAATAGGCTATTGGTTAGGCAGCAGGCAGCAAGGAATTTAGAAGCAGAGGACAGCAGGAGTGTCTGGAAAAGTACAGGTCCTCTGAATAGGGAAAATCAAGACTGGACCAGAAAATGGGAAAAGTTCAGTACCAAAAAGGAACTGTAGGAACTTTCATTGCTTTTGGAGTTTACTCTCCACCCAGAGAAGTCTGGTTAAAGTAGGGCCCATACTCCTGAGATACAGTTGGTACGATCACCTGCCAGAGTTCCTAGTGACTGTCAAGGAGGGCTTGATTGCCTACTGGGGACACACTGCTTCATAAAACATCTGTACCTTCAGTGATAACTAAGACATTTTAATGGTAAGCAGAATTTTGACTATCTCAGGGAACTTCATCCACATTATTTGACCTCTTACAATATTATGAATGGGAGTAAATGTTAACATTACCAGAAAATGATATCTTTAATTAGAGTTGTATTAATATCCTAATGATCATCCAACAAATCAATAACGGTTGAACTAAGACACCAGCCTAACCTGATTATCTTGCCCTCCTCTTGTCCTCAGATTGTATTGCAAAATGTATGGCATCATTATACATACATAACATATATGTTCTTATATGGCTCTGGTCAGTTACTCAATTCTCAGAACAACCATGTAAGTACAATTAAGATCTGAAAAACTCAGGCTCAGGTTGAACCTAGAACTCACCTGAAGTCACTAAGTTAGAAAGCGGTAAAGTCAAGGCTTTAATTCTTTACTCCAAAAGAATTAATAGTCTAAACTCCAGATGAAGATGCTCACATTATCATCTTGGTGTCAACTATCCCTACCCCATTGCTAATATTGTTGTGCTACTATAATTACTGTGTCTACTTACACTGAATTCATGGCTGAAATAGCTTGAGCTTCTGAAAGTAATAAGCAAAATTATCTTATGTGCAGAGGATATAAACGAATGAAAGCTATTCACCAATGGGGTGGACTGTTGATTATATGATTGAGAAAAAGCCAAAACATGTGTCTTTTTGTTGGTGAGAAAACTAAGTGGGAATACAGGTATCTGTATAATATATTCTCAAGCTAATTTAAAAAAAAGAGAAATGAAGAAATATAAAGAAATCTAGAAATCTTGCTGAGAAAAGAATGTATTTATGTATAAGTTCCTTGAATTAAGTTCTCCTGGAAAGCAGGACTACATTTTTGAACATTAATTTACATACTCACTCAACAAACATTTGCTAAGCAACTACATATGCTAGCCCATATTCATTATTCATTTATAGATATTTTTTTAAGCAAAAAGTCCTAAACTTAGATTTTAAAAGAAATTTCCACCTGTTGAGTTGTTTGCCTTCCATATCCGTGTTAACGCCAAGCTTATCCTTCTAACAGCCTCTGTTTCCCTTTTCCTTTCATTCCTTTATTTTGACCTCTGGTTTTGTTTTTTTTTTTTTTAAATCTTGGTGGGAGAAGGTATCGAAGAGCCCTGCCTTGTTCCGTGACAGGCTGGTTAATGCTATCTTTGTTTTTCTCCAATTCTCTTGCTTCCAAACATATCCTAAACTCTCAGTTTCCTTTCTGGCAACTCAGGAAGTTGTAGTTAAATGAACATGAAAAACTCCTAAAGGCAATGGAGTGCTACCATGGTTTGTTTGGCAGTGAATAAAGAGTGACTGGGTAAGAGAGTTTCTTTTACTCTTATAAAAATTGTTACAGAATGAAAAAAGAAAAGTTTTTGTTATGAAGTTCAAGAGTAACTCAGAACATCGCATGGCTTCAGCAATTGAATCCCATGGAAGGAAGGAAACATGTTCAGAGATGAGAGACAGAGAGAGCAAGCAAGTGGAGGGGGCTAAAGAAATGATCATAATTTAAAAAAAATTAAGTAATATTTTGCATTTCATGAAAGGCTCTCACATGCATCAGACCTCTACATCAACTCAAAAGGCAAAAAATACTATTTTCATGTTAAACCCTATAAAAATTGATGGTTGTGAAATCACATGACTTGTTTAAGGCCACATAGTCATTTAGAGGACCCAAATTCTCTCATTCCAGTATAATCATTTTCACTTATGGCCCACTCTTAAGTTTTAGTGTTATAATCATTGACAACTGTAAGCTGTTGAAGAGTGGGAGAGCAGGCGATAAAGAGTAAGCAATATGGGCCTTAATCTGATTAAGGCACTACATACATCGTGCTTTATACATACTGTACATACATATAGTGCTTATCTATCTATCTAATCTCTGAAATACCAAGGCAAAACTCTTTGAACAATCAATATACACTTAAAAAAAACAATGAAATATAGGAAGGTAAAACAGGTCCTGTCCAGGGATAGGTACCAGTGGGAGGGGGGAGGGCAGATAGAGAGGGTGAAGAAGGGCAAATATGGTGGATGTATTTTGTATTTGTGTATGAAAACAGAACAATGAAACTTGTTGAAATTATTGTAAGGGGGGGGAGGAGGATGAGGAAGAATAATAAAGGGGGTGAATCTAATTAAGATATATTGTAAGCACATATGCAAATGTCATAATGTATCCTCCCCTGTACAACTATTATATGCTAATGCATGAAAAATAATAATCATTGTGCAATATGCTTCATAACTAGAACTTCCTTGGCTTTCTAGAACTCAGCTCCAAAGCTAAACCCATGAGTGACTTATTTTGTCTCAGACACTTCCTCTCATGAATTTGTGGATCATTAACATAGATCTACACACAATTTTAAATGGAATCCAGATCTCAGAACTGATTTTCTGCACTTGTTGAAAGCAAGTGCCATCTACCTTAAACCTTTGAGCTAATACAATGCAAAGTTAATTACTACGTGGGTCTGTTTCTTTGTGTACTAGTTATTTCTTTCCCTTTGCCTCTATTAAGCTGCTTTTTTTTGGGTACTTTCTTGCACTCAGAATATGGGTAAGAAAATCAAGTTCATCTCAGCTCTTCTGAGTACCCCCAGTATTTTCTAGAATCTTTTCTTACCAAACATTTGAGTTTTTTTTCCATTGGACTCCCATAAAGTTAGAATGCTTGACTTTTAAAATGTTTTCCAAGAAAGTAGAGAAATCTTTAGAAATGTGGGCCAAGTGAATCTAGGTTCTGAATTACCACCACATGTTTAGGCTGTCTTGCCTTTTGAAAATCTAAGCCACTTGTTCCTAAACTTTGTTAGCTTAGCAACTCCTTTGGTTAGACAAACATCTTGAAATACAAATGAACAATCCAGATTGCCACTACCAAATAATTCTAGATTGAAAGGGTAGAGGGCTTTTTTTTTTAAAAGAAGGTGTCCAATTGTATATATACAATGATTAATTGTTTCCGGATGTGGTCATATTATCTACACCAATGCAAACACTTTCATAATGTACTGAGAACTTCAAAAATTTACCAGCATTATGAACACCATACTTTTGAGCATAACTCAGATGTATAAAATGACTACTTGAAACCTCAAAAAAGTCTAAGTGTTCAAATCCATTGCTGGTTTTTCTCATGGGCAAATCTAGTTATTTGGGTTAACTATAGAATTCTTTGGTGACTCTACTGGAGAAATGTATTTATACATGAAAAAGAAAATTTTTGGTAGTACAATGAAAACTTTATGTAGCAAATTTAAAGCCTATTTTATTAGTTTTTTGGTTAAAACTGAGTCTTTTTATTAGTGTATATTAATTGTACAAAGGGATTCCATTGTGATATTTCCATGCATGCATATAATGTACTTTGTCAAATTCACTCCCTGTTTTATTTCCTATATCCTTTCTCCCTCTTTAAGAAAGGGTACATTTGAAACCTGAAAACATTCATCTGGATTGGACTAGAGACTAAATATGCTTCAAATTGAGAGCATTCTAGCTTTATCTTCATATTGCCTGAGGAATTATAAACAGTTTTTTTTTATTGTTGTGCTTCATGAGGGTACATTATGTTAAAGCCTATTTTAATACATGAGCTAATAGAATGTGTGGATTTTCTATCTGAAAAGTCTACTAGAAGAGATGCACTGAAGAGGAGAGTAGTTATGTTTATGGATCCAAGACTAGCAAAGTCAACTAAGAAAATATTTCCACAAATTAATCCTTAATTTGATGGCTTACAAAACAGCTGTTTACAGGAGGAAAGGACCTTAACTGTTTGAGAGTACTTTGCCTTATGCTGCTACATAAGTACAGATATTGCTATTTGATTAATTTTTCTTGATTGATCTCAGGTTATTATTGCATTCACATTTACCCTGGGTAAACATAGTGACTTAGCAGTTCTTAATTTTCTTTCTAAATTCAGCGGTGAGTCTCTATGTTTATTTGGAGGTAAGAAAACTGTAAACTAGTATAACTGATTTTCATAAAGGCACATACATTGATTTACATTGATGAACAGCAAAGAAGGCAAAGGTCATCTTACGTAATGTGATATTTCAGTTGTTCGTTTCCATGTTGGGTGTCTTTTCTGCATGTCTATTGCTTCCCTTCTCTTCTAATCCTCAATTTAAGTCTTTTATGCCCTGTCTCTTACATTCCTACTAGTCTGATCTGATAAGTAAGATTGCTTTGAGAAATTAATTTGCTTTCATGTATTGGAATTCAAGTATGTAATTTTTCCCTGACAATTATTTGTCATTTAATAGGTATATTGTGGAACCAGAGGTTTGCCAAGAGAGTGACTCTCATCAGATTATCAAATACGATGATCATCGAGTTAGGTGTTTTTAGGTAAAAGAGAGTCTGTGAAATCCTAATCATATAGGTGGTCACTTATATGAAGGCACCTCCATGGAGTTCTTACTTCTATGTGTGTCTTATTATGGAGGTAGAAAAAAGAATTGGCTGAGAGGTCAGGAGATCTCAGCTCTGGAATCATAAAATCCAGGAAAACATTAATGTTGCCCATCTTGATGACTGAATCTCCTCTGCCACATTCCTACAAAAGCATCATCCATTCTGTTCTTAAATACCCCTAATTACAGGAACCCAGTTCCTTTTGAGACAGTCTATCTATTTATCATAGAGTAGCGCTGATTGTTAACAACCTTATTCCTTTGCATAGTTGAAAAATTCTCTTTGGAGGTTTCAAGCACTGGTCCAGTTCAATTTTTTTGAAGTCAAACAGAATGAACTAGAACCTCCTAGCCATTTTAATAATGCGAATAATAGCTACTACTGATACAGCCTTATTATATGTAGGGGCTCTTCTAAGAACTTCATGTATATTAATTAGGGTAATCCTCAAAAGCAGCACTCTAAGGAAGGAGTATCACTAATGTTTTCATTTGATAGACAAGGACACTAAAGTACAGAAAAATTGTCATTTTTCCCAAGGTGACAAAGTTTGGTAGTGGCCAAGCCTAAATTCAACTCCAGGCAATATGGCTCCAGGGCTCAAGTTTCTTACTACTATTATATTTTGTTGCCTCTGAAACTCCAATATTTGAATACAGCCTATATGATGCCCTGGTTCTTCTCTTCTGTGGGCTGGATATCCCTTCTCCATAAAGGGTTTCTGTAATTTTTTCTTTTGGTGTCAGGGCACTTCATTCCTATGGGTCATAGCTGGGGCTTCTAGAAGAGGCTTGTGGTGGATTTTCTTTAAAACGTCAAAGATAACTCTGAACCTTCCCTTCCACCTGCTGTCCTGCCTTCCCTTCCCACAGTTCCTCAGCTCTCTGCTACCAGGCCTCCAGGGGAGCCTGCACTCACCTGTGTGTACGAACATGTGCTTGACGTAGTTCTGTTTGGCGGTGAAAGTCTTGTTGCAGAGAGTGCACTCATAAGGCTTTTTTTCGCCTTGCCCACTGGCTGTGCTGTGGCCTGCGGATGAGGCCAGGGGCTGTGGCGCTGGCAGCTGTGCAGTAAAGGTGGACAGGCCAGGCTGGGACACTGTCACAAACTGGGTCTGCTGGCCTGCCAGGGGCTGTGGCAGGCTGAAGAGGAAAGGTTTGGGGCCGCTGCCCGCAGGCTGGGTAGTGAAGAGGGCTGGCAGGTAGGTGTTGCCAGCTGTGCCAATGACCTGTGTGTTGCTGGTCAAGGTCAAAGGCATCCTCAGGTTGCTGGTGAGGGTTTCTGTCTGGCGTAAGTAGAGCTGGGTACTTGGCAATGGCTGCCCGATGGACGTGTTGACTGAAGGCTGTTGCAGGACACTCTTATCTGAGCTGTTGCTGACAGTGATGACTGTGTTGTCCATCTCTACCTCGTTGCTTCTCTCTGGAGAGGAGGCACCTGTTTCTAGCTGGTTTGGCTGAGAGCCCCCCTCAGCTGGGGCTTCTGTGGCCTGCTCAGGTTGGGTGGGTTCCGCCTGGCCATCTCGTGTTGCTCCTGCCCCAAACTGCTGTTCCACCGAGTCGGGTTCCGTGCCTATGGAGGAGCTGACTCCAGAGTCGAAGCTTTCGCCTTTGGGCTCGCTCTCAGTGCCTTCAGCCTGGTCGGTGTCTTCGGTGCACTCCTCGGATTCATTGCGCTCCAGGATCTGCACCCTTTGCTGTCCATAGTAGTCATAGTCGTCCTCCATCTCCTGCTTGATGTGGATGTTGCCCACCAGTGTCTGGATGCGCACTGGCCGGGGCTGCTTGCGGCAGTGTGTGGTCTCGGGGGTAGTGGACAGGTAGCGCTCCATCTGCTGCGAGCGCTCATGGATGCGTGTGATCCAGCTGGGGTCTTCCATGTGGTGGTCGCGGGGCAGGCCAAGTGCAGTCTCATGGTGGCTGACCACTGCACCGCTGTAGAAAGAACGCTCCCCACTGCCATTCTGCATGGAGCATGCGTAGAGCGCAGAGTAGATTCTGTCCACACTGTGTTGTGGGTGGCTCTGCAGGTAACCCGATTCCGTGTCGCTACTCTGACCTGACGTGCCGGACTCAGGTGTGCCCCTCGGCGTGTCCTGGCCTGAGTCCTGGATGCCTGGGAACACATCACCCACGTTCTGCGACACGATGCGCGTGCACTCATCTATGACTGTTTTGATCTGCAGGATGCTGGCGGCTGTGAGTATCTGAAGAGCTTCTGACTGCGAGACTCGCAGCACGCCGCTGTACATGAAGTCAATGAGCTTTTGCACCGACTGCACTGACACCACAGAAGGGATCTCGATGTCACTGTAGCCCAGCAGCAGCTTGTCCTGGAAGAAGGGACTGCCAGCTGCCAGCACGCAGCGGTGTGCGCGCAGCATGCTCCCGTGGATGCGCACCGTCACGTCACAGAAGTGGCCACGGTTGCGCTGCTCGTTGAGGGTCTCGAGCACGGAATTGCTGAAGTTGTGAAGGTTGATGCTGTGAATGCGCTCGGTCATCCCCTTGCAACTGATGTCACCTGCAGTACAGTGAGGCAGATACAAAACAGGGCATGGGTCAGATCTAGCTGAATGCATTCCTAATATCTTGGTCTCAGGTGAGTAATACTAGAAGCACTTTTGTTGCACATACAGACAGGGGTAGATGGACAGGATGAGCATACAAACCTAGGGGGAACAAGGCCTTGAGGTTTTCCTCCCTCCCCATCTCAGTGCCCCACCTGTTTTGGATATGGCATACCTATCAATCCCCCAGAACTTTAGCTGAGGCAGTTAGCTGAAGTATAACCAGATGTGTCCTTTGCCTCCTATTCCTATGACTTCTGTAAGGAAAGGAAGATTTGTTCTCAGGGAGTGCTCTATCCCACTTTAGACAGGTCTAAGCCCAAGTCCTTTGGGAAAGTTTACATTTTCACTAATTTATCAAAGTTTCTTATTTTATTCATAAATAGCAACACTATTCATAGTTATGAGATAAAACCCTTTCCTCTTAGTTCATATGGAATATCACTATAACCCATATCATGGATGCATGGAAAATTCAACTCAGACTAAGGTGTCTAACCAAACAGCTGCCACCACGTTTCCCAGATGGTGTGTGGCTACAGAATGCAATCTCCTGGCTACCAGCTGTTTTCTGTATCTACTCATTCTTCTTATCTCTGACAACTTGCTCAAACACTTCCTAGAATGGTTATGTGGGAAATGGGTGATATTCTGAAGCTTAATGAAGAAGGATGTTGAAAAGGTCAGATCTGACTATGCTCACCTGGGAGACCAAACTACTAGGTGATCACATTTACAATTCAATCTGGCCAATTTTAGAGTGAAAGGGAACAATAATTAGACCAGGACCACAGAGGTAAACCAGGTGTGGGATACACATTTGTCCTAGGTAACAGAGCTCTGTGCCTTGCTAGAGGCAACTATTAAACAGCTCCCAGGAGGAAGGCAACAGTTAGTTATGTGGAGGCTGTGCTAGCCTGACCCATTGCCACTCCTGTATTTCAGAGTGTTCAGTCAAGATGTAACATTGGAAATATTGATCGACATTGAGAAAGAAAACAGGTGGCTATGGCACTAAGTCTTAGGGTTTTCCCATTTCTTCACCTCAGATGGCTCTCAAAAATCCCTCTTTCTGAACTATCTCTCCAATCAAATCCCCATATAGCTGACTGTTATCTTTCTTCTAGGAGCTGTTTAATAGTTCCAGCTGTCTTGCCTTTACAACTGAACTCTCAGGTTGATAGAGGCCAAGTAAGTGGGCTTTCAAAACAAAGTGGCCAAGTATTGGTTGTTGTCAGTGACCCAGATCCCTATGTCTTCTGAGGAGCAACCCCAGAGGTACTGGCCTGTATACAGGAGGAATGCCTACCTTTTAGGTTCTTTGTTCTCTGCCTTTGGATGAGGGATCTGCTTAGGCAAGTCTGAACTCTACTTCCTTTTTTACCTTGCTTTACTTGATCACTCTCATGCTGTTTGAGCTTAATAAATGCCTTCAAGCTCTGTGCTTTCATTCACTGATATGATTTGCATTAATTTATGTAAGAGAACGCCTTACAACCCCCGTCAAATCTAGTATGAGGCTGAAATATTGTATTAGGCTATAGCTTCCATTTTTCCACTTACATAAAACAAATTCTCTTTGCCAGATTGAAGAATCATGGCAAATCCCCTATAACTGTGTATTATGGCCCCAGAAGAAGGCAGCGGTAACTCTGGAAGAATGTTCAGGAACTCAGTCAACAGACCTAATTTCAGGTTTTTGCTGAGTTTCCTATGCATGTATACTATGAAAATAATGAGTTAACTTTTATTTGTTTTTAGAACTTACCATCTATAAGCACTGTCTTATCTACTTTATGGATATTATTTCTTTTAATTCCCGGAGCAACCATAGGGAGTAGGTAGTATATTATCCCCATTTTATAGATAAAGAAAATGAGGATAAAGAAATTAAGAAATATATTCAAGGCTACCATAGGCCATTGGTGGCATCTGAACCCAGGCAGTCTGACTCTATTGTTCACCCTCTTGACTGCTTCACTATGTCATGTGCTTTGCCCCTGGATGATGGCTGGCCCTTGGATCTACATGGGTTTTCCATAAAGCTATGTGAAAAGCTTTGTCCAGTACTTCCTGCAGCTACTTCTACACCTATCCATGATTCAGTCCAGGCTTCATGTTTCTAGGTCTTGAGGCTTCTAATGTAAAGAACATAACATACATACACACACACACATATGGAACAATGCAAGAAATAAAAAAACTTGTTCTGGCACTAGAATGTAGAATTTTCTATATATCATTTTACTATCACAAGGTCTCTCTTTACATAAGTAAAACAGTAGGCAGTAAAACTGGCTGTAAACAGATGGCAGTAAAATCATCTCTGAGTAGGATGGCCTTATTAAAATATTTTTTCTACAGATGAAAACATACTTTCAATACACACTTAACCATAGCATCAGTCATAATGGTAACACTGGAGATGTCATAGATGGCAGTTATCTTCTTTCATATAATTCTAGGTAACAGGTCTATCATAATAGTTAATATCCATGTAGCATTTTATAATGTACAAAACCCTTTCATATGTAATATCTTTTGTGTTTCTTGCAACAATCCTGTATGTTTTTAGGACAGTTTTTATTATTCCTATTTGATGTAAGAGGACGTTAAGGCTCTCAAAGTAACTACCTAACTTTTCCAAAGCTTTACAACATTAGCAAGTGGCAAGATTGGGATTAGAACTCATGCCTCTGAGTGTTCTTTTCACTGTGTACACTGGATCGCTGAAGAGTCAAAGTTGAATTGCCCAAAGATACAGACCTTCATTGTTTTTTTCTCAGTAGAAAAAAAACCAGTAAAGACACTGAAAGTTATAATAAAGATTGCTTTAGAGATGAGAAATGATGAACATCAGAAACTGTCATGTTATCACACACATCCATACACAAACACATACACAATTTCATGAGAAAAATTCAAATTACTTGTTTGATCAAATTGGATTACAGATTTAGTCAATCTAAACAATTAGGTAATTTGATAAATAGTCTGAGTTATGATTATTGCAATAATATCACTGACTTCATTAAAAACCACAGAGGCAAACATAAACCTTCACACATATACAACCTCACCTGGTAAGTCTGGTTGGATTTTTATAGACACAATTCTTAAACATCTCCCTGAGTATTCCAGCCCCATACTGCAATGAGTTAGCAGTGAAAGGCTGAATCGTTTTTTGCTGATGTGGTTGCAGATGCAATGGAGGAACTCTGCCTCTCCATTCAAGTGTGCCTCATGCCTCCAGCACACAATGCTGAGGCAATTCCTTTCCCAGGCTTTCTTTTATTTTTAACACTAATACAGTGGGAAAAAGTTTCTGCCACAACAAGGCAAAGTCCGGGCTTTTGTGAACATGTCCTTTTCATCCAATGGGCATTAATGTATAGATTCCAATGGAATAAATCTGAAATACTCTACTGTAGATTTGTCCCCCATTGAAAACAAATGTTGATTAGATGGTTATTCAAGAACTGTATAGGAAGGAATGGTGTGAAAATGCTAACTCTATTCTTTCCTAGATTGGCACTGAATAGGCATTTGGGCTATTCAAAAAAAAAAAAAAGAAAGAAAGAAAGAAGAAAGAAAAACCACACACACACGCACACACACACAATCAACCAACCAACTCTCTTAATTCTACAAAACCACACAACTTTACATAGATTTTGTGTATTTGGGGATGCCTCCCCACCCTAAAACAACCCAGAGTGGCATAAATATAGAATTCATGGCAAAGTGGAGAAAGTGATAAAAATAAATTTCTCTGTGTTTAAAAAATAATAGCCTATGCTTGTTTCACCAGAGTAAAAACATAAGTCAGTCTGTGATGGCATTCACTTGGAACATGCAAAGAATTGTACTACTGACAGTGATGATGTATTTATTCTAAGTGACTATTCTATGAGAGAGCACAAATGGATGGGGCTGAAGCAGGGGTGAGTCCGGAAGGAAGGGAAAATCTGCCTGGAGAAATAGGTGGTGGAGGGCCTGGTTCTTTGTTTTGTAGGAACTATGCTCCTGCTTGTCCCCTAAACTGTAGGGGTCCAAGGATAAGACTTAGCATAAGAATAAAAAGCTGCCTGTGCATAAGAGAAAATGAACAAGAAAGGAAACAGCGGGTAACACAATCTCTTTTAATTAGGTGTGAAATCCAGTCTTTTCTCAGGCAGGAGAGCAAAAGGATATATAAAATGAGAGGAGTGCAAAGATAAGGTGCTACAAAAGGGGGATGGGAATGTGAAGTCTCTGTGACTTGGAAAGAAACACCAGCTCCCAAATTAAAACCAGTATGAATTTCGGTTGAGTCAACAGGTCTAAGTCAAATGGCAGGGCCGAAAAGCCCTTGGGCTTTCAATCTGGGGCGCCAGATTCAGAGGAGGTAAGTGGGTCAGCACATGCAATAGGGCTAGGGTGGTTAGGCCTCTATAACCCAGCCTCATATATCATGCCCTTTTCATTCTTGTATTTTGATTTCTTTAGAAATTGATTGCTGAGATTGATCTTTCATAGATTAGGAGATTAATGATGATTTTAAGATATTTCCTGTTGGTGCTGTTTGCCAAGTTGGTCATATTAGGAAAGAACTAGTCAACTGTGGAGAAAGCAGTTATACATTTTTGGTAACTCAGTCCCCTTATTCTCAAAATCTGTTAGGAGCAAGACCTCAGTTAGATTTACTTCACCTACGTGCCAAGTGGGCATTGCAGAGCCCCTGCACTAGAGGAGGGATATTGAATTCCAGCTCCCAGGTTCTACCAGCCAGAGAAAATGATCTGTACTTCCTGACCCTCTCTTTCTATTTCACGGATAACTTTTGCAACTTTTGGAGAGTGGCTGGGAGTAATAGGGACATCTCCTATACACGTGGAATGCTACAGGTAGATCAGAATCTATTTCTTCTACCCTGGTTCCCCACATCCTATGGGGAGGAGGGCTGTACAGTTTT